TAGGGGCCACTAAAGCTAAAAATAGAAATACTGTTAAATGTCTATTTCTAGAGAACTAATTGATGGATGATCACCAAACTTTGTCTGTAGCATTGTTGGGTAGTCTTTTATCAAGTTTGCTTTTATTAATTTGATTGGCCCCTGTTAGGGGCCGCAAAAGCTGAAAATAGAAATATCTTTAATTGTCTATTTCTACAGAACTAATTGATGGATGATCACCAAACTTTGTCTGTAGCATTCTTGGGTAATCTTTTAACAAGTTTGCTTTTGTTTATTTGATTAGCCCCTTCTAGGGGCCACTAAAGCTAAAAATAGAAAAAAAAACCTTTGAACATCATTTCCTACAGAAATAATTGATAGATGATCACCAAACTTTGTAGCATTTTTAGGTAGTTTTTTATCAATTTTGCTCATATTAATTTGATTAGCCCCGTTTAAGCTAAAGCTTAAATGCCCCAGGTCATGGCATTTCTTCAAATTATTGTTTAAACATATTCTATGCTCAAGTTTAATATGAGAATATATTGACATTCCAACACTGAAAAGCAGTTGTTTCTGGTGAGCGACTCTAAATAACTTCTTTATTTCCTAATGTATCTACTTCAAACTTCATATATATGTTTCTTATTATCACTCAACATTTTTGAGAAGGTTAAATAATCTAGCAAGACTATTTCCAGAATTATGTCCCCCTTGAACTTAGATTTTTTTCGAGAAATTGGTATTTTTCACTCCAACTTCTTCATTCCTTATAGGATTTACTTTAAAATCCCACATCGTAATAATATGACAAGGTTGTATAAACATAATTTCCTTACTAGGCATGGAAACTTAACACATTAGAACTCAAAAGATTTAAGTTCATTCATGTCATTCATTCACTGGTAAAATTGAATGGCCAATCAGAATGTTGCTGGGGTTCTAACCGGTAGGGGACTTATGGATTGCTTGCAATACTATGATAATTGCTTGTTTTAGTAAATATACATGAAACGTATGCATGATAAAATAACGTGCACTAAAGGCGTTAAAGGCCTTCCATACCTACAACAACTATCAATGATAATAAACAGATTACAAATATTCAAGTAATTAATTAAACACTAGAGTCATAAATCTACAGCAGACGAAAAATTAGAGAACAAAAATAACTGTCAAAATGCAAAATAAAATTTCAATAAAACAAATATGTAATAGTTACGATATTCTGAAATAACAAAAATTTAATAAATAAAACAACAAGAAAAGAAAAATTTACCTTGCGCAAGCTTAAAAATTTACACCACAAAAATAAATGTGTCTGTCATAATGACCTTGTGCATCTTTACACATCTAAATGTGAGTTTAAAATTGTTCAATATATATGCATAGCTACACTGAGCAGAATGCGTGAAACATAACTTTCACAATTTTTTTGCATTCCAGAACGCATGTATAACAAAATATACAAGCCCGTAATATCAAATTTATAGACCATAAATAAATTTGCACTTTATCTCAAAAATCTAACTTTCTTATTACTGGACCAAATTTTATGAAAAATATATCAAAATGCTTGGAATGATATCAAGAAATTTAAGCAATAAATAAAAATACTGAAATAAGTAATTTTACTCGATAACTCTGAATTTTACAAAAAGATGTATATATATAATAATTTACATTGTATTTAGTACTGAGAGCACTTCTGAACATTTACGCAATATATGTAAAAATCAAAGTACTGAAAGCACTTCTGAGCATTTACAAAATGGTTTACTTTGTGACAGTTAGTCATGATTATTAGATGACCCCTATTGATTTTGAGGTCACTGAGTCAAAGGTCAAGGTCACAGAGGCCTTGACTTCAAAAAGTTTGTCCGTCCAATAACTTAAGATTCCTTTGACCTACAGCCTCCATTTTTGGCATGGAGGTTGATTCTGACCATCAGGTGACTCCTATTGATTTTGAGGTCACTGGGTCAAAGGTGAAGGTCACAGGGATCTTGACTTCAAAAAGTTTGTCCGCTCAATTGCTTAAGAATGCTTTGGTCAACAGTCTTCATATTTGGTATTGAGATTGTTTATGACTAGTAGATGACCCATATTGATTTAAGGTGTCTGTGTCAAAGATCAAGTCAGAGGGATTTTTACTATAATAAGCTTGTCTGCTCAAATGCTTAAGAATGCCAGTTTGCAGTGTATTGATTTTGACATTTTCACATTTGAAGCATGTAGAATACATAACTTAGCAATGCACTGGCTTAGTAACTCTTTATCTTGATTATAATTATACTGTAATTATACCCCTGCACAACAAAGTTGTAAGGGGGGTATACTGGAATCAGATTATCCGTCCTGCTGTTCGGCCGTCGGGCGTCCGTCGGTTTTTTTCTTGTTCGCCCAATAACTTAAGATTCCTTTGGCCCACAGTCTTCATATTTGGCATTGAGGTTAGTCATGATTAGAAGATGACCCCTATTGATTTTGAGGTTACCAGGTCAAAGGTCAAGGTCACAGGGGCATTGACTTAAAAAAGCTTGTCTGCCCAATAACTTAACATTCAATTGACCCACAGTCTTCATATTTGGCATGGAGGTTAGTCATGATAAGTAGATGACCCCTAATGATTTTGAGGTCACCAGGTTGAAGGTCAACGTCACAGGGGACTTGACTTCAAAAAGCTTGTCCGCCCAATAACTTAAGATTCCTTTGACCCACAGTCTTCACATTTGGCATGGAGGTTAGTCATGATTAGTAGATGACCCCTATTGATTTTGAGGTCACCAGGTCAAAGGTCAAGGTCACAGGGGCCTTGACTTCAAAAAGCTTGTCCGCCCAATAACTTAAGATTCCTTTGACCCACAGTCTTCATATTTGGCATGGAGGTTAGTCATGATTATTAGATGACCCCTATTGATTTTGAGGTCACCAGGTCAAAGGTCACAGGGGCCTTGACTTTAAAAAGCTTGTCGCCCAATAATTTTAGGTCACAGGGGCTTTTATTACAATAAGCTTGTCTGCTCAAATGCTTAAGAATGCCTGTTCACAGTATAATATAATAATTATACTATATATTATTATTGGCGACGCCGGTGAGCGGCGGCGTCTCTTATGGAATGCTTTTTATTTTGGCCTATGGAAGGAGCTGTTATTATTAGCAGTTAATATCATGTTGTGTTAATCAGTTTTATTTTGATTCGTAAAAATCAAGTAAACAAATATGTTGTTATATTTGTATTTAATAACTTTATGTAAAACGCATGTGAATTGTGATATTATTTCCACGAAATTGCAGGTTAAGTTTAACAGCTAGTCCCTTAGTTTTATTGACAATACTAAAACCCGGATTTCGAATATCGTTGTGGTCTACATTGATGCCGTATCCATTCATTCATTCATTTATATATTTTCAAAAATGTCCTACAAGAAGAAAGTTCACCTGCAAATGAGTATAAGGATAGGTAATGGAACTGTTGTAAACGATTATCCTATTGATTACGTTTATCTGTTGCGCAGAATGTTTGTTTTTACAAAGTGTACCAGTATCCGGATGTTGAAAGCTATCCGATTTTCTGCAATTACTGCTGTCACATGGCCATCTATTCTTTTATGAATACTTTACCATTAATTTGCATGGCTTGATAAAACTGAGCCTGCAACAACTATAATTTTGCTGTTTAGGGTGTTCTTTTGGGTTTCAGATTTTCTCTATTTTAAGGGGAAGTAACTCATGTTTACTAAATTATTTGTTCTTTTCTGTCAATCTTAGGTATTACTTATCAAACTATTTTTGTTGTATAAAATTTACCAGTTGTAAGGTCATCAAAAGCATGTTAATGTTAGGATTTCATATTTATTTAATAGAAACTGGGAATTATTAATGTTATGTGCATACATGTATATCTTAGTATATTGATATGATGAAACTTATAATATTTAAAGAGTTACAGTTATGTCATTATTATTAAAGGGATGAGACTTTCATTTAAAGTTATAAATGATAATACATGTATTGACTGAAAATGTCCTTAAACTTGGATCAAGCAATATAATTAATAAAGTCTCAAAAAATCATATTCTGAATAGAACTTATTCTAATTTTAACATAATAACATGTGCATAGTTTGAAAAGGACAGCTTCTGTCTTATCTATTTGTAATGGAGGGACACCGGTCTCAACCTCCAGGTCTCCTGAGTCAACCCAACTACAGACTTTACATAGAGTAGATTGTACTTGCCCTTGAATAAATTTGTGCACTAAATTTATTGTGGGTGATTTGTGCCACATGAAAACCAACATAGTACAAAAAGTAACTGGGCGCCAGATGAAAACATGAAATACAATCTACCACAAAGTGGTTTGTTTGTTGCATTTTTCATGTTTTTGCCCTGGATGCAAAATACAAATCAGGCTTCATAAAATTTCTAATCATAGAAAAAAGGTTAGTTTTTTATCTGTACAAAAAATAGATATTGTACATGTATTAGCACAGTTAATATGTTCACTTTAAAATTGACCTGTTATAAATAATGGCACAACCAATAACTGCCTAAGCCCTTTTTAGTAAAAATTATTATTGTATACAATAATATATAAATTGTTATTTTAATTAAGACAATGAGTATGTAAGTTTTTTTTTTTCTTATTTATTAATTAAGAACTAATTATCTGTTAATTTAAAAATCTAAAAGTATCTGTCACGGTTTAGAACTGTTCACTATTTAGGGGAGAAAATATGTAAGTGGCCAGATAGCTTAATCGCTACAGCTGCCGTACATTATTCTGTGGGTCACAGGTTCGAGTTCTGGTCAAGCTGAAAAGTTTTCTCATCCTGTGACTGCATATAAGCATAAGTTCAATTCACTATGCTCTGTAAACATAAGAAATTCAAGGACACAAATCAATATAGTGGGGAAATATGTTGTGGTTTAGAACTGTTCATTATTGAAGAGAAAATGTGTAGCCGGCCGGATAGCTCAGTTGGTCTTTTGAAAGTCATGGGTTCGAGTCATGGTCAGTACCACTCAAGGATATGTTTGACTGGATAGGTGGAACAAGTACCGGGGGTCTTCTAGCCTTGGCAATAGGTGTAGGTAGGTAATGTAGAGAGTCCACTGATAAGACTGCACTCTCTGTTATTGTAATATGTCTAGGTGATTAAAAGGGAAACATATTATTAATAATTTATATTGATTTAGAAATACAGGAGGCAAAACTATTGTCTAGCATACATGCCATATCCCGTCAGGCAGTTTCAGTCAGGGTTTAGAAGTGGTTATTCAACTGACACAATTCATGTTTGATTCATTTAACAGATTGCAATAAATTTGAAATGTACAAAGGCAGTATTGCATGATACTTTTAGATCTACAAAGGGCATTTGATACAGTTGATCACACTATACTGCACATGAAGAAGCTCTTTTTCTTCTTCTTCATGAAACTTCAAGCATCTGCCATATGTAATGACATTCTTACATGGTTTAAGTCTTATCTCTGATAGACAGCAGCTGGTGGATGTGGCTGGTACCCATTCTACTACTGCTCTGAGTACCTATGGTGTCCCCCTGATGTTCATTTTAGGTCCTCTTTTATGTCTAATATATGTCAATGACATGTCTGCAACCCTAAGCAATAAGCTTTATTTATATGCACAGCCACGAGTATCAGACCTGGGAAGAAAAAATATGACCAGATTGATAAAAAAAAACTGTGTTCATCTCAAAAGTGTCAAAAACCAAAATAAAATGTAAATAATGACCCCCATTAAAAATATACTTTAAGTTAATTATTCTAAGTATATTCTTAAAGGGGGTCATTATTTACATTTTTTTTGGTTTTTATGAACACAGTTTTTTTTTTAACAATTTTCTTCCCAAGTCCGATACTGGTGCCTGTGATTATATGCTGATGACTCAGGAATCCTTGTGTCTGGTACAATAAATCTGAAGAATTTCTTTCTTATTATATAAGAAATTCTTTCTTATTATTATGAGTCTTATAAGATTGGTTAATTGACTATAAATTGTCTTTGAATCTTGGCAAGACAGAGTCTATTCTTTTGGTTTAAGTTTCAATTTAAACTGGGCCTAGCTTCCAGGTCACATGGTCACATCCAGTAATGGTACTACTATAAAGTACACATCTTTTGTTAAGTATTTAGGTGCAAACCTGGATCAAATTCTTTTGGCGTAGCCCTTTGATGCTTTGCATCAATGCTTTTCTTGTGTTCTCATTTATTGATCATAAAACACCTCCAGGCAAAGCTGCATGAATGGGGGGGGGTATTGAAGTAATTCAGTGGCAGTTTCAGTTTTGAGGTCAGTAGGTCAAAGGTAAAGGGCACTTTGCCACTAAAAATATGTAGAATACATAATTTAGCAATGCACTGGCTTACTTCCCTAAGATTTGGCTGGGAGGTTGTCCTTGAGCTCTAAATTACTACTGTTGATTCTGACAAAGTGGTATGCGGGGGTATTCACGCCATGACAGTGGCAGTTCTAATTTATGTATAAAAATCTGTAACCTCTGAATTCATCTTATGTAATGTAATTTTTAGCTAATCATAAAAGACTTGGTAAAGAAGTTGTATATTTTACAGATTTACCAGCTTGCACAGGTGCATATAGAATTACTCCAGTAGATGTAAACAGCCGGCCATCATCATGTCTCACAAATTTTTTACTCAGTGGTATGTATTTTTGTTAGCACTGCTGTTGTGATCATATGATCTTGCCATTTAAAGCAATAGCTCTCATCATTTATAATCAAAATTACTTCTCTTGTAAAATTTATTAAACAGTAATGTGTGTTTTTACACTCATTTATGCTCTCTCAGTTTGTTTTTATCCTGTTATCTATCCATAAGTTTACAAGTTAAATGTTGATGCTGCACATCAAATACACCGCAAAATGATGTGAACAGTCAATCAGCATTGAAAATCGTTCTCTATTACAGTTGAATATCCGAAGCACAAATCAATTTTCCATGTTCTTGGTATGTGCTCATTGTTTAATAATTAATTAGTTGCATATTTTTGTGATAAAGTAGAACCTTATGCATAAATTCACAAAGTAATGCCATGTCTGAAATTCTGAAATGTTTGCTTGTTGCAACAAAGATTGAAACATCTGGTCGAAGCAAAATGAATTGGATAACAAAAAAAATTGAAATGTTTGGTATACTAAAAATAAATTCAAGATAATATGTGCCGAGAATATGTCCATTTAAATATTGGTGTGAAATGTTCGAATGATTTTGAGAACGAACTGTTCTGCAGTGATCTCCCCTTACTGGCTGTAGCGTAACCGGTGCGCACAGTTTGGCGTACTTTCTTAATGGTAAAAAAATAAGGGAGAACTGCCTCTCTGATAGTGGGCGTGGTTTAGGCTTTGTAACTTGTAATTTAATGATTCGACAAGTGATATTGATCAAAGTTGTTCTGGTTCCTTTCCGTCCCATCAACGAAGACTAACTGCTAGCATACCGGAGCATCATATTAAATTTGGCGACAATGTAAGGCGGAGCCGAACTTCAACAGAGGCGGAGCGAAAGGAAGTGAGTGACACTGCCTCAGTCGTTACCTCCCTCAACGGACAAGTTTTAGAACGATCGACTATAGACTGGCTCATTGGCACTTTATTTATTATGTAGATAAAATTCAAAGATAATGATAAAAAGAATATGATATTAACATGCATGGTACATAGCATAGGCTATATAAAGGGACAGATTTCTGTCTTCTAGTTGATATAAGTCAGATGCTTTTTAAGTCGTGGTTCTGGTAAAGAAGAGCACGAGTCATTTTAAGCAAAAATATTAGCATTTTTAGGGGAAAATATACCTGTTATGGGCTAGGGGAAACAACCTTTATTCGGCTGTAAAATACAGTGAAAAAAATCACTGTATGGGCTCCATTTAGTCATCATTTATTGATGGATTGTAACACAAAAGATAACTATCATGACTACAAGTGTGACATATGTAATTATACAAGTGTGACACATGTAATTAAGGTTGATATTTGCAAGGTCAAGGTCACTAGGGATGATAAATATCCAGATATTTTCCAAAAATTGCCCAGAACATATCTCCTATATGCATATCTATTATGCCCACATCTCTGTGACAGCGTATTTTGCGACAATGTTGCCCTTGTTTGGCATATAGCATCAACTGTTGGTTCTCAGCAAAAGTTATAGAAATAATGCCACTGGCTACCACTGGGATTTACACTAGGCAAACTTATTTAAAATTTCTTCTTTGAATAAATAACTCACCTGAGCCCCTGGGGGTCATAAAAATCTTCTTGTCTGAAGGTACAAGGCATAGAGCTTAGATATTTGGTATATAATATCACATATAGGTCCTCTACCAGAGTTGTTTAAATTATAGCCCTTGGGTCAAAATTGGCCCTGTCCTGGGGGTCATAGATTTTTATGCCACCGCAGCATCTGCGATGCGGTGGCATATAGCAATTCACCTGTGTGTTTGTATGTATGTGTGTTATATAAATTATAAAGTGAACTTAAAAAATCTTCTTGTGAAAAACCACTAGTCCAATTTCAACCAAACTTGGCAGGATTGATCCTTGGGTGAAGGGCTTTCAAAGTTGTTCAAAGAATTTCATTCCATGCAGAAATCTGGTTGCCATGCTGGCAACCAAAAGGAATTATAAGAATAAATTAAAAAAATCTTCTTGTAAAGACCCACATTTTAGGCCTAGAGAAAAGATATTTTGCATAAGGCATTGTCTGGTAGGCCTCTACCAAGATTGTTCAATTTATAGCCCTGGGGTCAAAATTGGCCCTGCCCGGGGATCATTGATTTTCATTATATGTACATATAGTAAAAACTAAAATACCTTCTTGTCTGAAGGTACAAGGCTCAGAGCTTTGATATTTGGTATATGATATCATCTATAGGTACTTTACCAAAGTTGTTCAAATTTTGCCTCTAGCATCAAAATTAGCCCCGCCCCGGGGGTCATAGGTTTTCCTTTTATGCATACAGTAAAACTTAAAAAAACATCTCTCGAAATTGACAAAGCCTAGAGGTTAGATATTTTGCATGAATCATTGCGTAGTGAACCTCTACCAAGATTGTACAAATTATAGCCCTGGGGTCAAAATTGGCTCCGCTCCGGGGGTCATTGATTTTCACTATGTACATATATAGTAAAAAATTAAAAAATCTTATTGTCTGAAGGTACAAGGCTTAGAGCTTTGATATTTGGTATACGATATCATCTATAGGTACTCTATTAAAGTTGTTCAAGTTTTGCCTCTAGTGTCAAAATTAGCCCCGCCCCGGGGGTCATAGGTTTTCCTTTTATGCATACAGTAAAATTTAAAAAATCATCTTCTCAAAATTGACAAAGGCTAGAGGTTAGATATTTTGCATGAAACATTGTGTAGTGAACTTCTACCAAGATTGTACAAATTATAGCCCTCGGGTCAAAATTGGCTTCGCCCCGGGGATCATTTATTTTCACTTTGTACATATATAGTAAAAAAATCTTATTGTCTGAAGGTACAAGGCTTAGAGCTTTGATATTTGGTATATGGTATCATCTATAGGTACTCTACCAAAATTTTGCCTCTAGTGTCAAAATTAGCCCCGCCCGGGGGGTCATAGGTTTTTCTTAAATGTATATAGTAAAAACTTTAAAAAAAAATCTTTTCTAAATTGACAAAGGCTAGAGGTTAGATATTTTGCATGAAACATTGTGTAGCATGATTGTTCAAATTATAGCCCTGGGGTCAAAATTGGCCCTGCCCTGGGGGTCATTGATTTTCAGTCACTTATAATGTACATATAGTAAAAATTTAAAATCTTTTTGCCTGAAGGTACAAGGCTTAGAGCTTTGATATTTTTTATATAATATCATCTATGGGTCCTCTACCAAAGTTGTTTAAATTATGCCTCCAGTGTTAAAATGACCCTGGCTCAGAGGCGATAGTTTTCCTTATATGTAAATAGAAAATCTTGAAAAATCTTCTTCTCTGATTTGACAAAGGCTAGAGGTAGGATATTTGGCATGAGACTTTGTGTAGTGAACCTCTACCAAGATTGTTCAATTATAGCCCTGGGGTCAAAATTTGCCCCTCCCCAATGTTTATTATGAGTTTATTTTTTTCACTAAACATACCATACTCGTCTAGACAAACTGTCTCTGTACTGGAGGATGGAGGGGGTTCCCCAAAATTTGTGGTTGGTGTTGCTGGTCTGCTATGCTTTGGAGTAGGTGGTAACGGCGAGATTGGTGTTGGGATCAACTTTTACGTTTACTGTCTTGGATAATGATGACATTGACGTCGTTGATCGAATGTCCCGGACTATTAAAATTGCGGGAAATTGGTTTGATAGTTATAATTGCGTGTTCTGTCGTTGGCCATATGACCATAGAATCGATCGAGTAATGTGTTTCCTGTCTGTCCAGCGTACATTATTTAAGTATATACATCAGAAACCAGAAAAAATATACATTACTCCTAGCAAGGTATATTAGTCATTTTGAGCAAATCGAGGGTTCTGTCTTAATTGTCTTTTACATTTTATATAGTTTGTCATAGCAGCTCACTGTTATTTTCATAAATTAGCAAAATCTTGGTTATAAATGTATTGATATTAATTATGGTGTGTTATTTGTTTAAATTTGGACAAAACAACTATTCAAAATATGACCATGACCTTTGAAATACCTTTACTCATGAAGGCCTATATCATTGTGTTTGCATTTGTTAGATTGTAAGAAAAGTTGGGTTTGGGCAATGTTTTAGTTGTTCTTGCTTCTATAACTTAAATAGCCACTACTATATACATGTATTTTGTTAATAAGGCATTCAACCGGTTACAAAATCTAACCATTTTTAAAGCACATGTGTGATATTGCTTATATACTTCGACAATAATTGAATAGTGTGTATTTAAGGATAAAAGAAAAACAAGAAATAAAAAACAGTGCTGGTTAAATTTTGCTTCAGGAAGAGCAGTAATGTTAGAACAGCCTCGAAAAACTGGGCTCAAGGTAATATCTCATATGCTAACAAGTCATGGTGGAGAGATATTTATACATTGTATACCAACAGGACGGTCAATACTAGAAGATCCACCATCTATTAGTGAAGGTCCTGGTGGTAGGGTGACAGATTACAGAATACCTGTATGTACTAGCCTTTTTCTTTTTTATGTGTTTAGCTGTTGGGTTTTAGTTCACATAGACACTGTAAAGTTTATATTACAACTTACTACACTGTAAACTATGTTGGCATACATTGTTGTGCACCTAGTTCCCTGTCCATCTGTCCATCTGTCATTGTTCGCAATGTTGTCTGATCTGTATCTTTTCAACCAATGGAAGATGACTGAAAATACTTGGCAGAAATGGGAACCATAATGACAAAATATGCAGAGCACAAACTTTATCTTAAAATTGAGCTGATAGAAAGAAATTAAAATTATTTAGCCAAAACATTAGTTAAAAAGAGATGATGTGCAGATCATAGGTTTTGGTTTCCAGAGGTCATAATTGGCTTGCCCGAGGGATTTCTTGATTTGTATAGACTTATATATAGGAAAACACATTTAAATTTCATCATGTGTAGCATTGCTTTATTGACCTTTACAAAACTGATTTGAATTGTGCCCCTGGGTTCAATATTGTCCCTATCCTAGGGGTCACTTTTACTGCACCTATGGTCAATATAGCCCCAGACTGGGGTCACTTGTTTTATTTAAACTTATACATGAAAAGTAATTTGAGTCTTATTGTGTGAAACTACAATGCCCAGAGTTTGATATTTATAGAATACCAAGATTGTTTAATTTTTGACTAACAGGACTTTAGAGAGTTTATGAAAGAGAATAGATTGGCACCAGCTTCTCCAGCAGTAGCAGAGATGGCTCCTCAACAACCTATTCAACGAGGTAAAAATCATTACTTTACTTTATATATGGCTTGTTTTCTATTCAATGAGGTAAAACTTTATATATGGCTTGTTTCCTAACCATCAAGGTAAAAATCATTACCTTATATATGGCTTGTTTCCTATTCAACGAGGTAAAAATCCTGACTTTACCTTATAAATCGCTTGTTTCCTATTCAACGAGGTAAGAATCATTACTTTACCTTATATATGGCTTGTTTCCTATTCAATGAGGTAAAACTTTATATATGGCTTGTTTCCTAACCATCAAGGTAAAAATCATTACCTTATATATGGCTTGTTTCCTATTCAACGAGGTAAGAATCCTGACTTTACCTTATAAATCGCTTGTTTCCTATTCAACGAGGTAAGAATCATTACTTTACCTTATATATGGCTTGTTTCCTATTCAATGAGGTAAAACTTTATATATGGCTTGTTTCCTAACCATCAAGGTAAAAATCATTACCTTATATATGGCTTGTTTCCTATTCAACGAGGTAAGAATCATTACTTTACTTTATAAATCGCTTGTTTCCTATTCACCGAGTTAAAAATCATTACTTTACTTTATATATGGCTTGTTTTCTATTCAATGAGGTAAAACTTTATATATGGCTTGTTTCCTAACCATCAAGGTAAAAATCATTACCTTATATAAATTATGGCTTGTTTCCTATTCAACGAGGTAAGAATCATTACTTTACCTTATAAATCGCTTGTTTCCTATTCAACGAGGTAAGAATCATTACTTTACCTTATATATGGCTTGTTTCCTATTCAACGTTGTAAAAATCATCACTTTACCTTATATATGGCTTTTTCCCTATTCAACGAAGTAATCATTACTTTACTTTATATATGGCTTGTTTCTTATTCAACAAGGTAAAAATCATCACTTCAATATATATATGGCTTGTTTTCTATTTTAGTCATGAGGGAACATGTTGTCTGTCTGACTGACGGAGGTTTAACATATATATATTGAGATTAATTGAATTCCTTTTAGAGGTTAACAATTATCATAGATATCATATAAACTAAAGCAATACTAAAGAGGATTAACAATCAATAGGAAATAAGTGTTTTAAATTACTTCAGTACATACAGAAGCTATACAACTGTTTTATCAGAGAATTCAAGTTATAGACTCCCTAAATGTTTAAATTTTGGGAAGACTGTTTTGATATATCAACGAAGGCCAAAGAGTGTCTCTGGTGCATATTTTCCAAAATGAGACATATAAATTAAATATAGTTCAAAATATGTAATGTTACTTTATAACATGCTATACCATGATTAATAGAAGTGAATTCATCTTAACTCATAATTATTCTATTACGTCATACCAACTGTCCATCTCAAATGAGATGTGCTCATACTGTGACCAAGAATATTCAGTACACATTTTGATACTGTACAGAACGGACGTGGTTCGATTAGTTAGACCAAGAAATGTAATCTTGATTCCTAGATTAACGCTGTTAATCTATTGTATTTTCATTTTTAGCTCGACTTTTTTCTTTTTTCTTTTTTTTGAAAAAAAAAAAGGAGAGGTATTGTTATAGTCCTGGCGGCGTTGCCGTCCGCAAACTTTTACCTGGATCATAACTTTTTTAGTTCTTGGTGTATTGTCTTCATACTTGGCCACAACAACCCTTGGGACAAGACCTTTCAGTAGACCACACTAACCTTGACCTTCACTCATAAATAACCTTGACCTTCAAGGTCAAAAGTCCAAATTTTGCTTGTTCTTGCTATTATTGTCTATTACTTTGTTATTATACCCCCACCACAAAATGTGGGTGGGGGGGGGCTATAATGGATTCGCTTTGTGCAGAACCCATGTTGCCCATGTGTCAGCTCAAGGTCACAATTGAAGGTCAAATAATCAAATATTAGACAGTATGTCGTGTCCGCTCTGTAAGTCCTACACTAATTGAAAGATTTTTTTCAATCTTGGCTCAAATGTTCACCTCAACAAAGTTATGTGCAGAACCCATATCACCCTTTAGCCGGCTTAAGGTCAAGGTCACACTTGAAGATAAAAATTTGACTTAGAAAATATTCTTAAATTGTATTTGAATATTTCTGAAACTAGTAAAGGTATTTGCTTGAAACTTAAAATATATATGAAGTGTCACAATTAAGATATGTTGGTCAAGTTTCATAACTCTGTATTGCATTTTAACAAAGTTATGCCCCTTTTTAAGTCTTCAAATTTACATTTAATCAAATATTAGACAATATGTCGTGTCCGCTCTATAAATCCTATAGTAATGGAAGAATTTTCTTCAAACTTTACTCAAATGTTCACCTCAACAAGGTTATGTGTAGAATTCATGTCACCTTTGTGCTGGTTAAAGGTCAAGGTCACACTTGAAGGTCAAAAATTGACTTAGAAAATGTTCTTAAATCTTAACATGTACTTGAATATTTCTGAAACTAGCACAGGTATTTGCTTTAAACTTAAAAGATATATGAGGTGTCACAAATAAGATATGCAGGATAAGTTTCATAACTCTGAATTGCATTTTGAAAAAGTTATGCGCCTTTTTAAGTCTTTAAATTTACATACAATCAATTCTAGACAATATGTTGTGTCGGCTCTATATATTCTATACTAATGGAAGGATTTTCTTCAAACTTTACTCAAATGTTCACCCCAACTGGGCAATGTGCAGAACCCATCTTACCCTTGTGCCAGCTTAAGGTATGTAAGACTGTATTATTTTTATTAGCTCACCTGTCACAAAGTGACAGGGTGAGCTTTTGTGATTGCTTTTCGTCCGTCGTCCGTAAACTTTTACTTTAAACGACATCTTCTCATAAACCGCTAGGCCAATTTCATCCAAACTTCACAGGAATGTTCCTTTGGTGGTCACCTTTAAAAATTGTTCAAAGAATTTAATTCCATGCAGAACTCTGGTTGCCATGGCAACCGAAAGAAAAAACTTTAAATATCTTCTTTTAAAAAACCCTAAGAGCTAGAGCTTAGATATTTGGCATGAAACATCTTCTAGTGAGTGTCTACCAAGTTTGTTCAAATAAAAGCCCTGGGGTCAAAATTGGCCCCGCCCCAGGGGGTCATTGATTTTCCCTATATGCATATAGTAAAAACTTAAAAAATCTTCTTTTAAAGAACCCAAAGAGCTAGAGCTAAGATATTTAGCATGAAACATGTTCTAATGAGTGTCTACCAAGTTTGTTCAAATAAAAGCCCTGGGGTCAAAATTGGCCCCGCCCCGGGGGGTCATTGATTTTCCCTATATGCATATAGTAAAAACTTAAAAAATCTTCTTTTAAAGAACTCAAAGAGCTATGGCTAAGATATTGAGCATCAAACATGTTCTAATAGGTGTCTACCAAGTTTGTTCAAATAAAAGCCCTGGGGTCAAAATTGGCCCCGCCCCAGGGGTCATTGATTTTCCCTATATGCATATAGTAAAAACTTAAAAAATCTTCTTTTAAAGAACCAAAAGAGTTAGAGCTAAGATATTTAGCATGAAACATGTTCTAATAAGTGTCTACCAAGTTTGTTCAAATAAAAGCCCTGGGGTCAAAGTTGACCCTCCCCCGGGGAGTCATTGATTTTCCCTATATGCATATAGTAAAAACTTAAAAAATCTTCTTTTAAAGAACTCAAAGAGCTATGGCTAAGATATTTAGCATCAAACATGTTCTAATAGGTGTCTACCAAGTTTGTTCAAATAAAAGCCCTGGGGTCAAAATTGGCACCCCCCGGGGGTCATTGATTTTCCTTATATGTTAAGATACAGCAAAAACTTTTAAAAAATCTTCTTTGAAAAAATAGCAAATTAAAATCTTCTTTGAAAAAACCCAAATAGCTAGAGTTTAGATATTAAGCATGAAACATCTTCTAGTAAGTGTCTACAAAGTTTGTTCAAATAAAAGCCCTGGGGTCAAAACTGGCCCGGCCCCAGGGGTGTCATTGTTTTTAACTATATGTGTATAGTAAAAACTTTAAAAAAAATCTTCTTTTAAAAAGCCCAATGAGCTAGAGCTTAGATGTTTAGCATGAAACATCTTCTTATGGGTGTCTACCAAGTTTGTGCAAATAAAAGCCCTTGGGTTAAATTGGCCCTGCAACGTTGGGGGGTGGGGTGGGGGTTAGGGGGGCCTATATACAGGTGAGCGACCTCAGGGCCATCATGGCCCTCTTGTTGAATTCTTCGATCATTGTTACAACATAACAACACTACACATAGATAAAAACAAGGATAACATTCTAACAGGTATATTTTATGCATCTATGTACGATCTTATTATAGGTGCAAATATTTCAACCTCGGTTGGCTTGAACTACCGATCTCCGGAACAAATTTTCACGGTCTCTCTGAGTTCGAACGAACAAAGTACATGATAGTTTTATCAATCATGCAAAAAAGTTTTGTTCTATCTTATAATTTCCTTTCAATGATTAATTAATCAGTTTGTCCGATTGTTTCCAATTTATCAATATTGTAGAAATGACTTCCAGTATCATTAGATAGTTGTATTAATAAAAAAGAATCAGGTCATGTTGAAACTGACGAAAGGGAAAAGTAATTTATTATAATCTACTTCTTCCCCTTTATCTAACCAGAACCAAAGGTTCAGGGTGAGCTATTAGTTTCAAAGGGGGATCCTCCGGCATCATGCGTCAACAATCTTCTTCTTCTCTGAAACTGCTGGACAGATTTACTTCAAATTTGGTCTGTAGCATCCTTGTGACAGTCACACTTGAATTTGCTCATGTCATTTCAATTGGCCCCTTTTAGAGATCAACAGAGCTAAAAATAGAAAGACCTTTTAAACTTCTACTATAGAACTAATAGATGGATGATCACTTAACTTTGTCTGTAGCATTCTTTGGTAGTCTTTTATCAAGTTTGCTCATATTAATTTGATTTGCCCCTTTTAGGGGCTGCTAAAGCTAAAAATAGAAATACCTTTAAACGTCTAATTTTACCGAACTAATTGACGGATGATCACCAAACTTTGTAGCATTCTTTGGTACTCTTTTATCAAGTTATCATATTAATTTGATTGGCTCCTTTTAGGGGTCACTAGGGCTAAAAATAGAAAAACCCTTAAACATCTTATTCTACAGAACTAATTGATGGATGATCACCAAACTTTGTCTGTAGCATTCTTAGGTAGTCTTTTATCGATTTTGCTCATATTAATTTGATTGGCCACTTTTAGGGGCTGCTAAAGCTAAAAATAGAAATACCTTTAATCGTCTAATTTGTACAGAACTAATTGATGGATGATCACCAAACTTTGTCTGTAGCATTAGTCTTTTATCAAGTTTGCTCATATTAATTTGTTTGGCCCCTTTTAGGGGTCTCTAGAGCTGAAAATAGAAATATCTTTAAACATCTATTTCTACAGAACTAATTGATGGATGATCACCAAACTTTGTCTATAGCATTCTTAGGCAGTGTTTTATCAAGTTTGCTCATATTAATTTGATTTGCCCCTTTTAGGGGTCTCTAAAGCTAAAGATAGAAATACCTTTAAAGGTCTATTTCTACAGAACTAATTGATGGATGATCACCAAACTTTGTCTGTAGCATTCTTAGGTACTCTTTTATCAAGTTTGCTCATATTAATTTGATTACTGTATGTGTATTTAAATTCGCGGAAGCAAATTTTCGCGGAAAGGTCCACTTTGGGGGTCTATACAAATATTGGCGCTATTTTGAATTCGCGGAGGTGACTGCCAAAAATCATAAATTCGCGTAGACCACTCAGGTTAAAAAAGGAAAATTACTGTAATCATCGTGGGAGTTACAGTTATTTTTAAAACCAGGTGTCAAACAATACTCTATTGTACAGAAAAAAAGACATTGTCTAGCGGACAGATTATAGAAAACAAAAGAATGCCCGTTAACGTGCATAATTTTTCACAGTTTGCGTCATAAACGTCTTGACATCTGATCAGAGCATGTTTTGGTTTTTCTGAACAAACAATTAAAAAAACACAAACATAAACGATTTTAAATGATCAATAACTTGGAAAACAAAACACAATTACACAGTAAAGATTTAAATAAAATGTGTGAAAGCATATCACATACTGATATACATTGTTCTATAGAAGCGCGAAAATATGACTATTTAGAAATTATTGGTGTAGAAATGTTCGCGCTCAACATGAATTCGCGGATCGAATGTCACCGCAAAGATCGCGAAAATTTGAAGCCCGCGAATATTTCTACACATACAGTAACTCCTTTTACGGGTCACTAAAGCTAAAAATAGAAAAACCTTTGAACGTCATTTCCTACTGAAATAATTGATAGATGATCCCCAAACTTTGTAGCATTCTTAGGTAGTGTTTTATCAAGTTTGCTCATATCAATTTGATTGGCCCCGTTTAAGCTAAAGCTTAAATGCCCTAGGTCAAATTATTGTTTTAATATATTCTTTGCTCAAATTTGATATAAGAAAATATTGACAATGGATAATTTCCAACACTGAAAAGCAGTTGTTTCTGATGAGCGACTCAGGGCCATCATGGCCCTCTTGTTCTATGTACATATAGCAAAGATTTTGATATAAAAGGGTTTTTTGACATGACAAAACTTGAAATAATTTCTGGAGATTTATATTCAAATTGAAGAGAGACTGACCAACAACTTTTGTGCAAAATTCACTCACTTAATTTTTCCAAAGTTATTATTCTTATCATGAAAAAGGACACAAAATTTGAAAGCATTTCACCAATTGGGCTATGAAAGCATGTAAATACAATTAGCAATTTATTGCTGAGTATATTTCTTAATAACTTTTTAGTTCACCTGTCACAAAGTGACATGGTGAGCTTTTGTGATCGCTTTTCGTCTGGCGTCTGTCCGTCCAGCGTTCGTAAACTTTTACTTTAAACGACGTCTCCTCATAAACCACTAAGCCAATTTCATCCAAACTTCACAGGAATGTTCCTTTGGTGGTCATCTTCAAAAAATGTACAAAGAATTTAATTCCATGCAGAACTCTGGTTGCCATGGCAACCGAAAGAAAAAACTTTAAATATCTTCTTTTAAAAAACCCTAAGAGCTAGAGCTTAGATATTTGGCATGAAACATCTTCTAGTGAGTGTCTACCAAGTTTGTTCAAATAAAAGCCCTGGGGTCAAAATTGGCCCCGCCCCAGGGGGTCATTGATTTTCCCTATATGCATATAGTAAAAACTTAAAAAAATCTTCTTTTAAAGAACCCAAAGAGCTAGAGCTAAGATATTTAGCATGAAACATGTTCAAATGAGTGTCTACCAAGTTTGTTCAAATAAAAGCCCTGGGGTCAAAATTGGCCCTGCCCCAGGGGGTCATTGATTTTCCCAATATGCATATAGTAAAAACTTAAAAAATCTTCTTTTAAAGAACTCAAAGAGCTAGAGCCAAGATATTTAGCATCAAACATGTTCTAATAGGTGTCTACCAAGTTTGTTCAAATAAGAGCCCTGGGGTCAAAATTTGCCCCGCCCCGGGGGTCATTTATTTTCCTTATATGTGTATAGCAAAAACTTAAAATCTTCTTTGAAAAAACCCAAATAGCTAGAGTTTAGATATTAAGCCTGAAACATCTTCTAGTGAGTGTCTACACAGTTTGTTCAAATAAAAGACCTGGGGTCAAAATTGGACCCGCCCAGGGGGTCATTGATTTTCCTTATATGTGTATAGCAAAAACTTAAAATCTTCTTTGAAAAAACCCAAATAGCTAGAGTTTAGATATTAAGCATGAAATATCTTCTAGTAAGTGTCTACAAAGTTTGTTCAAATAAAAGCCCTGGGGTCAAAACTGGCCCTGCCCCAGGGGTGTCATTGTTTTTAACTATATGTGTATAGTAAAAACTTAAAAAAATCTTCTTTTAAAAAGCCCAATGAGCTAGAGCTTAGATGTTTAGCATGAAACATCTTCTTATGGGTGTGGGGGGGGGCTATATACAGGTGAGCGGGAAGACGGACAAAACCCCACCAGTTAAAACCCCACCACTCAAAATTTTATAGAGTGGACAAAACCCCACCACTAAATTTTATAGAGTGGACAAAACCCCACCACTAAATTTTACAGAGTGGACAAAACCCCACCACTTACCAATTATTGGGCAAGATTTGATGAATTAAAATATATATAATATACAGTACACATCTTCACATTTTATTTTTTAATTTCAATTTTAAGAGATTATACAAATAATTTACAAACTGTTAAATCAACATCAAAGAGCAGTCATTTATTTGAGACTGTGCCACATTTATGACCTTGAATTATCCATTATATTTAGTTTCTTCAAATTCATTTCTTCAATTTATTTATATAGAAAATAAACTACTTACTATAATCAAGAATGAAGCACATTTTCATCAATTAATGATTAAAAAATAGCACATTTTTATAGCACATTTTTTAATTTATTCAGTTCAGTCAATTTTCCTTCATTGTACTTAGTTTAAGTGGATACTGTGGCTGATAGCCTATAGAAACTCGGGTACGGTCTTCTCCTTATTGATGAGTTGTTCACACATTCTTTTGAGTTTTGCTGATGCACAATGTTTACAAGAAAGTTTTGTCCACTCTATAAAACTGAAGTGGTGGGGTTTTGTCCACTGTGTAAAATTAAGTGGTGGGGTTTTGTCCACTCTATAAAATTTAGTGGTGGGGTTTTGTCCGCTCTATAAAATTTTGAGTGGTGGGGTTTTAACTGGTGGGGTTTTGTCCTACATTCAGGTGAGCGACCTCAGGGCCATCATGGCCCTCTTGTTTGCAATGTTTTGATTTTTGCTATTTTTTCTGGGGTGAAAGGGGCTCCACTTAAACATTTTTACCTATTTCTCAGGTGAGCGATCCAGGGCCCTCTGGGGCCTCTTGTTTTGCATATCTTTCTGTTTTTTACACATGACAATGTAAAATTTCCAATGTGTGTTTATGCTTCTGGACCCCAGTGAAGTTTCTTTTAAGGGTAGCTGCAAAAATACTGGCCTCCATCGTCCTGTATAGAGTGAGACCAGCCTGCTTATACAGTATTGTATGTTTAAACATTTAACCTATTGGAACTGAATGGGATTAGCCTTCTTATTCAAAATGGGACAAGTCCATTTCACAAATTCAGCAGGGTAAGGGTTAACTGCAAGATTATTCTAGCAGTGATAACAACTAGTATAATTATGTCAACATTTTACAGTCAGACTAGCCTACATATATTTAAATTCTGGCTAGGCTGTATATTTTTGGCTATTTATCAATGGCAGTTTCAACTTAACAGCAAGACATGTTCATCATATAAATTCAGTGACAGGTAAAAAGATGAAAACTTCATCATAATGATATCTAACACTATGCAATCATGTAATCTTAATGAAATGTTACTATATTTTCAGCATTACAACATATAGAGAGGACTAGTAGATGCTGGCCAATGGTTATAAGTGACACAATTATCTTCAATATGGCATCTGTAAGCATCTACACAATTTACAATGAAATCAAAACTCCAAAGCATTTACCTTTAGTATACAGCCAGGTTAGCCTTCATATCCATGCTGTCCAGTTTACAATCCGTGCCGTAAACCTGACACATCTGTGCTGTGAAGCCTACACATCTTTGATGTCTACTTTACATCAGTGATGTATAGCATACACATCCTTGCTGTCTAGTCTACACATCCTTGCTGTCTAATCCACACATCCTTGCTGTCTAGTCTACATATCCTTGCTGTCTAGTCTACACATCCTTGCTGTCTAGTCCACATATCCATGCTGTCTAGTCTACACATCCTTGCTGTCTAGTCCACACATCCTTGCTGTCTAGTCCTAATATCCATGCTGTAAAGGCTACATATCCATGCTGTCTAGTCTACACATCCTTGCTGTCTAGTCCACACATCCTTGCTGTCTAGTCCACACATCCTTGCTGTCTAGTCCACACATCCTTGCTGTCTAGTCTACACATCCTTGCTGTCTAATCCACACATCCTTGCTGTCTAGTCTACATATCCAAAAAATGTAAAGGCTACATATCCTTGCTGTCTAGTCCACACATCCTTGCTGTCTAGTCTACACATCCTTGCTGTCTAGTCCACATATCCATGCTGTCTAGTCTACACATCCTTGCTGTCTAGTTCACACATCCTTGCTGTCTAGTCCACATATCCATGCTGTAAAGACTACACATCCTTGCTGTCTAGTATACACATCCTTGCTGTCTAATCCACACATCCTTGCTGTCTAGTCCACACATCCTTGCTGTCTAGTCCACATATCCATGCTGTAAAGGCTACACATCCATGCTGTCTAGTCTACACATCCTTGCTGTCTAGTCCACACATCCTTGCTGTCTAGTCCACATATCCATGCTGTAAAGGCTACACATCCATGCTGTCTAGTCTACACATCCTTGCTGTCTAGTCCACACATCCTTGCTGTCTAGTCTAGGCTACATGTCTGTGTTGTAAAGGCTACATATCTGTGCTGTAAAGGCTACACATCCTTGCTGTGAAGTCCACATCCATGCTGTAAAGGCTACATATCCATGCTGTAAAGGCTACATATCCATGCTGTAAAGGCTACATATCTGTGTTGTAAAGGCTACATATCTGCTGTAAAGGCTATATATCCGTGCTGTAAAGGCTACATATCCATGCTACTATCTGTGAAGTAGAGCCTTCACATCTGTGATGTACCAGTCTACACATCTGTGATGTCTCAGTCTACATATTTGTGATGTTAAGCCTTCACATCTGTGATGTAAAGCCTACACATCTGTGATGTAAAGCCTACACATATGTGATGTATCAGTCTACACATCTGTGATGTAAAGTCTTTACATCAGTAATGTCTAGTCAACACATCTGGGATGTAAAGCCGACACATGTGTGATGTAAAGTGTACACATCCTTGATATAAAGCTAACATATCTGTGATGTAAAACATATACATCCATGATGACTGTTATTTTGTGATGCCTACAACACCATTTGGCAGTCTGAACAGGAGGCTCTATACTCTTACCTGAACAACATCCAATATTCATCATGAATTGATTTCCCTAATATTGATAATAAAGTTATCCAAAATATTATCTGGACAAGTCTATTCTAGAAATTAAGCAGATAAAGGGTAAACTTGTTTCCAACTCTACAGAATACTTAGGTACAAAAGAATAACACCTTGCCTTTATCTTGAAACAAATCTATAAAAGCTGTAAGCATACATATTTTAGATTTTGTTCTTTTCTCTTTGCAGCCTTTTTAACAACAACAAATGTCTTTTTGGCTAAAAACAGTGTCATACAATATTTCCAGACTATGAAACTGATTGTCTGATAAATAATAAACATGAAGTTTAATGTCTTATGTCATTAAAATGTTAATCTATCACTAGTGTGATACTGGCATTTATCATTGTAATGAATGAGCAATTAAAGTAGCTGTGACTTCATATTTGTCACTATTGTTGCTTCAAATCCACATTAAATGGAGCTCTTTAATTCTTCCATCCACAAATCCTCACTGACACATGGAGCTCTTTAATTCTTCCATCCACAAATCGTCACTGACACATGGAGCCATTTAAGTTTTCCTTACACAAACCCTCACTGACACATGCAGCTCTTTAATTCTTCCATCCACAAATCCTCACTGACACATTGAGCATTTTAATTCTTCCATCCACATATCCTAACTGACACATTGAGCATTTTAATTCTTCCATCCACATATCCTCACTGACACATGGAGCTCTTTCATTCTTCCAACCACAAATCCTCACTGACACATGGAGCTCTTTCATTCTTCCATCCACAAATCATCACTGACACATGGAGCTCTTTCATTCTTCCGTCCACAAATCCTCACTGACAAATGCAGCTCTTTAATTCTTCCATCTACAATCCTCACTGACACATGGAGCTCTTTAATTCTTCCATCTACAATCCTCACTGACACATGGAGCTCTTTAATTCTTCCATCTACAATCCTCACTGACTCATGGAGCTCTTTAATTCTTTCATCCACAATCCTCAGTGAAACATGGAGCTCTTTAATTCTTCCATCCACAATCCTCACTGACACATGGAGCTCTTTCATTCTTCCATCCACTAATCGTCACTGACACATGGAGCTCTTTCATTCTTCCATCCACAATCCTCACTGACACATGGAGCTCTTTCATTCTTCCATCCACTAATCGTCACTGACACATGGAGCTCTTTCATTCTTCCATCCACAATCCTCACTGACACATGGAGCTCTTTCATTCTTCCATCCACAAATCATCACTGACACATGGAGCTCATTCATTCTTCCGTCCACAAATCCTCACTGACAAATGCAGCTCTTTAATTCTTCCATCCACAATCCTCACTGACACATGGAGCTCTTTCATTCTTCCATCCACTAATCGTCACTGACACATGGAGCTCTTTAATTCTTCCATCCACAATCCTCACTGACACATGGAGCTCTTTCATTCTTCCATCCACAAATCCTCACTGACACATGCAGCTCTTTAATTCTTCCATCCACAATCCTCACTGACACATGGAGCTCTTTCATTCTTCCATCCACAAATCGTCTCTGACACATGGAGCTCTTTAATTTTTCCGTTCACAAATCCTCACTGACACATGGAGCCATTTCATTCTTCCCTCCACAATCCTCACTGACACATGGAGCTCTTTTATTCTTCCATCCACAAATTGTCACTGACACATGAAGCTCTTTCATTCTTCCATCCACAAATCGTCACTGACACATGAAGCTCTTTCATTCTTCCATCCACAAATCCTCACTGACACATGGAGCTCTTTAATTCTTCCCTCCACAATCCTCACTGACACATGGAGCTCTTTCATTCTTCCATCCACAAATCGTCACTGACACATGCAGCTCTTTCATTCTTCCATCCACAAATCCTCACTGACACATGGAGCTCTTTCATTCTTCCATCCACAAATCGTCACTGACACATGCAGCTCTTTCATTCTTCCATTCACAAATCCTCACTGACACATGGAGCTCTTTAATTCTTCCGTCCACACATTCCTCACTGACACATGGAGCTCTTTAATTCTTCCCTCCACAATCCTCACTGACACATGGAGCTCTTTCATTCTTCCATCCACAAATCATCACTGACACATGGAGCCATTTAATTCTTCCGTTCACAAAACCTCACTGACACATGGAGCTCTTTAATTCTTCCCTCCACAATCCTCACTGACACATGGAGCTCTTTAATTCTTCCATCCACAATCCTCACTGACACATGGAGCTCTTTCATTCTTCCATCCACAAATCGTCACTGACACATGGAGCCATTTCATTGTTCCGTTCACAAATCCTCACTGACACATGGAGCTCTTTAATTCTTCCATCCACAATCCTCACTGACACATGGAGCTCTTTCATTCTTCCATCCACAAATCGTCACTGACACATGGAGCTCTTTAATGATTCCCTCCACAATCCTCACTGACACATAGAGCTCTTTAATTCTTCCATCCACAATCCTCACTGACACATGGAGCTCTTTCATTCTTCCACCCACAAATCGTCACTGACACATGGAGCCATTTAATTCTTCCGTTCACAAATCCTCACTGACACATGGAGCTCTTTAATTCTTCCGTTCACAAATCCTCACTGACACATGGAGCTCTTTAATTCTTCCCTCCACAATCCTCACTGACACATGGAGCTCTTGAATTCTTCCCCCCACAATCCTCACTGACACATGGAGCTCTTTAATTCTTCCATTCACAAATCCTCACTGACACATGGAGCTCTTTCATTCTTCCATCCACTAATCGTCACTGACACATGGAGCTCTTTCATTCTTCCATCCACAAATCGTCACTGATACATGGAGCTCTTTCATTCTTCTATCCACAAATCGTCACTGACACATGGAGCCATTTCATTCTTCCGTTCACAAATCGTCTCTGACACATGGAGCTCTTTAATTTTTCCGTTCACAAATCCTCACTGACACATAGAGCTCTTTAATTCTTCCATCCACAATCCTCACTGACACATGGAGCTCTTTAATTCTTCCCTCCACAAATCCTCACTGACACATGGAGCTCTTTAATTCTTCCATCCACAATCCTCACTGACACATGGAGCTCTTTCATTCTTCCATCCACAAATCGTCTCTGACACATGGAGCTCTTTAATTTTTCCGTTCACAAATCCTCACTGACACATAGAGCTCTTTAATTCTTCCATCCACAAATCGTCACTGACACATGGAGCTCTTTTATTCTTCCGTTCACAAATCCTCACTGACACATGGAGCCATTTCATTCTTCCGTTCACAAATCCTCACTGACACATGGAGCTCTTTCATTCTTCCACCCACAAATTGTCACTGACACATGGAGCCATTTTATTCTTCCGTTCACAAATCCTCACTGACACATGGAGCTCTTTAATTCTTCCGTTCACAAATCCTCACTGACACATGGAGCTCTTTCATTCTTCCATCCACAAATCCTCACTGACACATGGAGCTCTTTCATTCTTCCATCCACAAATCGTCACTGACACATGGAGCTCTTTCATTCTTCCATCCACCTATCTTACTTAATTGATAAAACTAGACTGTTTTTGTATAGCATTTAAAGCGTTGGACTTAAAAGCCTACTTAACCTTTCCTAAAACAAACATGAAAAAAAAGCCAGACAAACAAAAATGATTTTAATAGAGATTTCTTGTTACTTATGTTTCCATCACTAGTTTTTGTAAAAATAAGAAACTGAAAAAAAAACAACACAGTTTTGGATCTTTTGACTGATTAAATGAATAGTGTTTTGTCCTTGTGCAATGTGAATTGATGGATTAAAGATAAGAGTGAAATACTTCAGGGAATAACATCACTCGTCAAATATGTCCCATATAATTGCTGATTAATCAAGTCTTATAGGCAACTACTTATATAGACTTTTCTGATAATTCATTTAGGTTTGATTTTAAAACTTGCAGAACTATTTTATTTTTTAATAAATATACCGAAAAATAAAAACAATATAGAAATAGAAAATAAGAAAAATTTAAATAATAAGAGTTGTTTTTGTCTTAGTTAAAAAGGCTGCAAAGAGAATAGAACAAAATCTAAATTATGTATGATTACAGCTATTAAAGATTTGTTTCAATATTAAATCAAGGTGTTGAATTCTGTCAAGTTGAAAAAAAATTAACAGAATGAGTATCTGATGTGATATTGAGTTAGGTTAGTTCTTGTATATGGTGCATCATGTGACAATAAATGGTTCAATAATTTTTTAAGTTTTTTCACAAAATGCTTTTTATACACCTGTTTGAAAAACAGGTTGTATGATAGTTTCCTCCCTGAAGAGCAGACGGGCGGGTGGCATCCAATTTTTGTTGGAGCATATCGAGGATTTTTAAACAGAGATTTAAAATTTTCGCACCCATGAATCAGGTCTCTAGGTCAAAGGTCACAGTCACACTTAGAGGTCATTGAAAAATGCTTGTCTGGAGCTAAACTTCTACATGCATAGAGGGGATTCTATATAACATGGCACAAATGTTTACCATTGTGTGTCGGAGTGTCGCGTGAAACATTTAGGTCCTTGTGAACAAGGTCAAGGTCACACATAGAGGTCAAAGTTCATATAAAAATATGAAAATGTGTATTGGGACCATTTAGTCATCATTTATTGAGGGATTGAAAGACAATGGCCATTATCATAACTACTGGTGTGAAACATGTAATTTAGGTTAATATATGCAAGGTCAAGGTCACTAAAGATGATAAAATAAAGAAATTTTGTCCGGAGAAATTTTGTCCAGAGCATATCTTCCCAACGCATAGTGGGATTCTAATGAAACTTCTTAGAAATGTTTACTACTATGAGAAGCAGTGTCATGTGCCTGAACCAGGGCTCTAGGTTAAAGGTTAAGGTCATACTTAGAGGTCATTGGAAAATGCTTGTTTGGAGCTAAACTTCTACATTCAAAGTTTGTGATCGGGGACCATTTATTCATCATATATTGATGAATTGTAACACATGTAATTAAGGATAATATTTGCAAGGTCAAGGTCACTTGAGACGATAAAATATCCAGATATTGTCCTGAGCATATCTCCTAAATGCATGTCTATAATGCCTACATCTCTGTCAAAAGCTTTTGTGACAGATGTATTTTGCGGCAATGTTGCTCTTGTTCAACAATGTATTAGTCCAAAGAAAATGCACTATCTCTAATCTTAAATAGATCTCACATTTTTAATCTTTAATTGTTTCAGATTTTCATATAATCTTAACCTGTTCAATTTTTATATGTATTTTTAGCATATTGATCCATTACCTACATTACTTGTGAAAGAACAGCTGACAGAGGATGAAGTTATTGACTGTAAAAAGGCAATATATCATATTGTAGGTATGGAGAGCAGGAGTGAACCATTGCCAATAAACACAGCTGGCATCAGAGGGAAAGGTGCTAAAAGGTTAAGTTATTCTACAAATTATCATACCAGTTTGATCTAATTGTTATGTACCTGTTTGCTGGACTAGATAATTAGTTAATGTAGGGCATTTAAAGAGTAAAATACCAAGATAAAGCAGACAATAGTATAGAGCTTTGTAACTTTTGCTGAGTCTGGATGGTAAAATTCATTGAGTTTGATTTTACTCATGAAGAGCATCAAGGTTTTGTGATTTGTTCATTTTGACCAAGTTTTGGCCTGTTATTTTATTTTTACATATGTAATATATACCAAGAACTATTCTTCTATGCTTTCTAGAAAATTCAAACAAACTTTCACAAAACCATTGTGAGCCACAGAACTTTTAGGGTAAAGTGTTATCCCCCTGGTGGTCTGTCCGTCAATCTGTTGGCAGTTTTATGCCACAATCATTGAAAATCAGAGTATACAAGTATATATAAAAGCCAGAAAATTCTGTTGTTATACCCCTACCACAAAATATGGGGTGGGGGGCTATAATGGATTCACTTTGTCGCGTCGATCCGTCTGTCCGTCTCTATTTTCATGTCCGCTCTATAAATCCTATACCAATTGAAGGATTTTCTTCAAATTTTGCTCAAATGTTCACTTCAACAAGGGGATGTGCAGAACTCATGTTGCCTATGTGTCAGCTCAAGGTCAATGTTACAATTGAAGGTCAAATATCAAACAATCAAATATTACACAGTATGTCGTGTCCGCTCTGTAAGTCCTATACTAATTGAAAGATTTTCTTCAATCTTTGTTCAAATGTTCACTTCAACAAGGTAATGTGCAGAACCTATGTTAACGTTTTACCGGCTTAAGGTCAAGGTCACACTTGAAGGTCAAAAATTGACTTAGAAAATATTCTTAAATTTTAACATGTATTTGAATATTTCTGGAACTAGAAAAGGTATTTGCTTGAAACTTAAAAATATATATGAAGTGTCACAATTAAGATATGCAGGTCAAGTTTCATAACTCTGTATTGTATTTTGATAAAAGTTATGCCCCTTTTTAAGTCTTCAAATTTACATACAATCAAATATTAGACAATATGTGATGTCCGCTCTATAAATCCTATACTAATGGAAGGATTTTCTTCAAACTTGACTCAAATTTTTACCTCAACTGGGCAATGTGCAGAACCCATCTTACCCTTGTGCCAGCTTAAGGTCAAGGCCACACTTGAAGGTCAAAAATTGACTCAGAAAATGTTCTGAAATTTTAACATGTACTTGAATATTTCTAAAACTAGAACAGATAATCATTTGAAACTTCAAATATATGAAGTGTTGCAAGTAAGACATGCAGATCAAGTTTCATAACTGAAAAAAGTGGGAAGGATAACTTTGTATTGTATTTTGACAAAGTTAAGTCCATTTTTAACCAGGTTTTCCGAAGGAAAAAACTGGTTATTAGATCGAGGTATGTCGGCGGGCGGGCGGATGGGCAGGCGGGCGGGCGTAAACAATTTTTTCTGTGCGCAACTCCTCCTACATTTCTCGACGGATTTTGACCAAACTTTCACAGAAGCTTGTCATCAAGACTAGTGCCCTGGTGCATATTGTGGGGGTTTTGTGATTGGATAATATTTGACCTAATTATGGGCCTTTGTTTTTTTTCCTGATATAGAATATATATTGAACAATTTCTTCTGTGCGCAACTCCTCCTACATTTCTCAACGGAATTTGACCAAACTTTCACTGAGGCTTTGTCAGGGTTTTGTGATTGTATAATATTTGACCTAATTATGGCCCTTTGTTTTTTAGCTCACCTGTCACAAAGTGACAGGGTGAGCTTTTGTGATCGCTTTTCGTCCGGCGTCCGGCCGTCATCCGTCCGTAAACTTTTACTTTGAATGACATCTCCTCATAAACCACTCAGCCAATTTCATCCAAACGTCACAGGAATGTTCCTTTGGTGGTCACCTTTAAAAATTGTTCAAAGAATTTAATTCCATGCAGAACTCTGGTTGCCATGGCAACCAAAAGAAAAAACTTTAAATATCTTCTTTTAAAAAACCCTAAGAGCTAGAGCTTAGATATTTGGCATGAAACATCTTCTAGTGAGCGTCTACAAAGTTTGTTCAAATAAAAGCCCTGGGGTCAAAATTGGCCCCGCCCCGGGGGTCATTGATTTTCCTTATATGTGTATAGCAAAAACTTAAAAAATCTTCTTTGAAAAAACCCAAATAGCTAGAGTTTAGATATTAAGCATGAAACATCTTCTAGTAAGTGTCTACAAAGTTTGTTCAAATAAAAGCCCTGGGGTCAAAACTGGCCCCGCCCCAGGGGTGTCATTGTTTTTAACTATATGTGTATAGTAAAAACTTAAAAAATCTCTTTGAAAAAACCCAATGAGCTAGAGCTTAGATGTTTAGCATGAAACATCTTCTTATTGGTGTCTACCAAGTTTGTTCAAATAAAAGCCCTTGGGTTAAAATTGGCCCTGGGGGGGGGGGGTGGAGGCTTATATACAGGTGAGCGACCTCAGGGCCATCATGGCCCTCTTGTTAACCAGGTTTTCCGAAGGAAAAAACTGGTTATTAGATTGAGGTATGTCGGCGGGCGGACGGGCGGGCGGGCGGACGGGCGGGCGGGCGTAAAACAATTTCTTCTGTGCGCAACTCCTTCTACATTTCTCAACGGATTTTGACCAAACTTTCACAGAAGCTTTGTCATATCAACTGCCCTGGCGCATATTGTCGGGGTTTTGCGATTGGATTATATTTGACCTAATTATGGCCCTTTGTTTTTTTTCATTATATAGAATATATAGTGAACAATTTCTTCTGTGCGCAACTCCTCCTACATTTCTCAACGGATTTTGACCAAACTTTCACAGAAGCTTTGTCATTAAGTGCCCTGGGGCATATTGTCGGGGTTTTGCGATTGGATAATATTTGACCTAATTACAGCCCTTTGTTTGTTTTCCTTATAAAGAATATATAGTGAACAATTTCTTCTGTGCGCAACTCCTCCTACATTTCTCCACGGATTTTGACCAAACTTTCACAGAACCTTTGTCACCAAGTGCCCAGAGGCATATTGTCGGGGTTTTGCGATTGGATAATATTTGAACTAATTATTGCCCTTTGTTTTTTTTCCTTATATATAATATATAGTGAACAATTTCTTCTGTGCTGAACTCCCTCTACAATTCTCAACGGAATTTGTTCAAACTTTCACAGAAGCTTTGTCATCATGTGCGCTGGGGCATATTGTCAGAGTTTTGTGATTGGATAATATTTGATCTAATTATGGCCCTTTGTTTTTTTACCTTATACAGAATATATAGTCAACAAATTGTTCTGAGCTGAACTCGTCCTACATTTCTCAACGGATTTTGTTCAAACTTTCACAGAAGCTTTGTCACCAAGCACCCTAGCACATATTGTCGGGGTTTTGTGATTGGATTATTTTTGACCTAATTATGGCCCTTTTTTTTTTTTTCCTTATACAGAATATATAGTGAACACTTCTTCTGTGGCAATTCCTCCTAATTATTCATGTTTTACATTGCACATAGTTACATTGTTTGTTGCTTGTATTTGTATTTCAAATACAACATAATAATCTACAATGGTGATAATTGAAAACCTGGTTTCATGGCATTGCCATGTTTCTTGTTTTCCTTATACAGATGATTATATAGTGAACAATTTTTACCATGCACAAATTCTCCTACATTTCTCAACGGATTTTGACCAAACTTTCACAGAAGCTTTATTATCAAGTGCCCTGGTGCACAATATCGGGGTTTTGTGATTGGATTATATTTGACCTAATTATGGCCCTTTGTTTTTTTTTCCTTATACAGAATATATAGTGAAAAAATTCTTCTGTGCTGAACTCCTACATTTCTCAACGGATTTTGTTCAAACTTTCACAGAAGCTTTGTCATCCAGTGCCCTGGCGCTTTTTGTCGGGGTTTTGTGATTGGATAATTTTTAGCTCGACTATTCGCAGAATAATCGAGCTAATGCAGTCACCCATTTGTCGGCGTCGGCGTCCCTGTGGTTAAGTTTTTGCATGTAAGCTGGTATCTCAATAACTACTGAAGGGAATGGATTGAAACTTCACACACTTGTTCTCTGTGATAATCTTAGATGATTGGCACAAGTCCCATAACTCTGATTTGCATTTTTACATAATTATGTCCCTTTTTCGACTTAGAAGTTCTTGGTTAAGTTTTTGCGTGTAAGCTGGTATCTCCATAACTACTGAAGGGAATGGATTGAAACTTCAAACATTTGTTCTCTGTGATTATCTTAGATGATTGGCACAAGTCCCATAACTTTGATTGCCTTTTTTACATTATTATGCCCCTTTTTCGACTTAGAAATTCTTGGTTAAGTTTTTGCGTGTTAGCTGGTATCTCCATAACTACTGAAGGGAATGGATTGAAACTTCACACACTTGTTCTCTGTGATTATCTTAGATGATTGGCACAAGTCCCATAACTCTGGTTTGCTTTTTTGCATAATTATGCCCCTTTTTTGACTTAGAAATTCTAGGTAAATTTTTGCTTGTAAGCTGGCATCTCCATAACTACTGAAGGGTTTGTACCTTTTCGGACAATTTTATGTATTCATATAGGTAAGCATTATTATATTCAATGAAACAACCTTGTGACAACTTTTCGAATAGTCGAGCGTTACTGTCCTCCGACAGTTCTTGTTTATCTAATTATGGCCCTTTGTTTTTTTTTCTTATACAGAATATATAGTGAACACTTCTTCTGTGGCAATTCCTCCTACATTATTCATGTTTTACATTGCACATAGTTACATTGTTTGTTGCTTGTATTTGTATTTCAAGTACAACATATTTATCTACAATGGTGATAATTGAAAACCTGGTTTCGTGGCATTGCCATGTTTCTTGTTATGTCTTTAAATTTATTTACTATAATATTTCTTAAACCAGAACAATTATTTACTTGTAACTTAAAGTCTATATGAATATGGTTACAAGCAAGCTCAGATGACGAAAAT